ACGCACTCAGTAGGGAAGGAAGCCTTGGTGGCTTTTGAAACAGAACCCTGCGGACTGCGCACTGTTTTCCTTCATGTATGACGGCAGACATCAGAGGAAAAGGCTCCGAATTTCATTCGGAAAACGACAACTCCTTGAGCAAGCACGCGAACCGTCTGTGTCGTGAGAAACTTCCGTTCTCGTTCAAGGCAGGCGTCGACGTGCGCCCACGCGATCCTGGTCAGATTGATGTTTATCTGCGACTTGTTCCTAGACAATATATATATATATATATATACATATATATATATATGTATGTATATATATATATGTGCCATGCCATGCGCTGTGTCATTTGGGGCCACTACAGAAGCGACGACGGGTCCTGCAGAGAAATACGGCGAGCCGGCGCAGCGTTTGTAGGCACGCTGAATTCGATTTACTAACCGCGTGCTTGCATGCTAAGTCTCTTTATTTCAGGTGGTGGGTTTACAGTTTTTACCTTACTGCTTTTCTTTCTCATATAAATATCTCCCTGCACTCTATTCCATTAACTTGCACACATCGCTTCAGCCAATTGTATTCGATTTCCATAACATTTTTGTGTTCGTGGCATACCGTGAACTATACTTCCTGACCTCTTGCACTTAGCTAGGATGTATTTGTAAACAACTTATTAAGTATGCTATTTAATTAAGGTTTATGTCACCGTTTCCTTATGCATTAATCGAGTTTTTCTCTTTTTCTTTCTCTCCCTCAAGTGATTGGCTGTTGTTTGATATGCCTGGTGTGGCTGCGCTTGATGTGCATGTTGACAAGCTGCCTACCTGTCTATTACCCACTACCTCGTCCATACTGGCTCCAGGAGACAGTTGGTCGTTGCTGGAAGGGACGGGGTGCACGGTCCTTGTGGCCGTGTTAGGCTCGAAGAGTGGTTCCATGCACTCAGTGTGGAGCGGACTACGGTCCAGCCACCGCCTTGTGTGCGCGTTTCCCCAAATACAGCGTGCTTGTGTTTGCCTGTGAAGGAGTGTGGGCCCGCTCCGTTGATGAAACGTGGCTCCCATCCGCATGCCTCCCGGTCTTATTCCTTCGGGTTTACACTGGATATGGGGTGTGTGGTTGGAGCTGTGGGTGGTGCAGCGCAAGCCATCCATGGTCCCTTTATAGGCGCAGGCGTCCTGTGGCTTGCCACAGTGACAGGCAAATCCGAAACCGGATGCCGCCAACTATATATGGCCCTCCTTGATGCATGAAGTAACACAGACCTTATCGCAGAGTTATGCTTTGACTGTCAAGCTTATATCCCGCTGCCTCGAGCTTTGTTTAATTGCAAAGTAACCTACTCAGTGATGTGATCACCAGAGGTGACACAACTACCTAGATAAGTAAATCGATCAACAACTTCTAGTAGCTGTTCGGTGGTAATAAGAATCCGCAGCCTGTAGGTTGTCTTGCAGCAGTACCTTGTATTATGAAGGTGCAAAGTTTCTCCCAACGCGTGCAGTGATACGCGCCAGTCCATTCAGTGATGACTGAATAGCGACTGAGTCCAAACGAATAGAGCTATATCGTGTGTATGCTCCAGGTTCGTCAGTTGGGAACCTCACGGAACATTTACTGTAGAAGACGCCCAGAGCACAGTCACTCATGACCATTTCGATCTTGAAGTCGAAGAAGAATGGAAATATTGAATATCAGAACAAATGTTAGCGAACAAGCTCGTTTTCAGTGGTTCCTCATCAGGCTAATACACCACAAATGAATGACATGAACGTAAACATCAGCTAAAGGCACAGGTTCAAAACCCAGATGATCTGAGTGACCCAGCTAGACGATTGGCTCCACAAATTTGTCCAGGCACTAACTCTACCCTGGTCCCCTGTAACACGGACACAGTATGGACAACGCCACACACACACACACACAGTTGATCGCCGTGGGGCCAATCGCCTAGGTTGGTCACCCAGACCATCTGGGTTTTGAACCTGTACACTTAGCTGATGTTTAGGTTCATGGCATTAATTTGTGGTGCATTAGCCTGATGAGGAACCACTGAAAATGAGCTTGTTCGCTAATATTTGTTCTGATGTCCACTCCCGGGATATTTTATCAGTTGAAATGTTGAATAACCTTGCCGTCGACAACCTAGGAGACCAGTTCCAGTAACCCCTTACCTGGTTTCGGAAGTCGGGACAGAAAAGTTCAGGATTGCAGTTTCCCTTGCACGCGATCTACGGATAGGCAGTACCACAGTTTGGCATGGTCAACAAATTCGTAAGTGACATTCATGTCAAGAAAAAGTACCATTGTATGTCGTCGTTTGACTAATGCAATCAGCGAAAGTTAACCTGGTTCTTAATGCCGTCTCTCACGAGGACCAGTAAGTCATCGCAGAATAAGAGGTTTGGAGGCAAAAAATACAAGGCTAGTGTCTCGATGGTTTTCGCACAAGGTCCTTTGACCATTTCTGAAGATGGGTAAGACATCTAGAAATCGTCAGTCTGAAGACACATCTTTAGCGTTCCAAATATTATTGCATAGAGTCTTTATTCGAACTAACAAGGAGTCATCTCCACCTTTTATCAAAGACAGTTCGACGTTATGGGGCCAGTACCCCTGTTTCGTTTCAACACAGTGAGTTCATGCGAATTTTAGGTTTTGTTCCGTCCTCCGAGCTGAACATTTTCGTTACAGACCTTTCATCCCCAGCAGAGGTGAATTCGTCAGTGCGTAGTAATCAAACTGAATGGTTCGTCGATCCTCGGTCGATGAGCGAATGACGCTTGAAATTGACCACTTTCAATCTTATGTGGTGAACGACCCGCCTAAATTCATTCTTTCGCAGTTACTGGCAAACCGGATCTAAGTCAATGCGCAGGTTTATTGAATTCTCTGTAGAGAACCATGCCCAGAGAACAAACCAAAACCTGAACAGACAACCCGAGCTAAAGATGCTCCATTTTATTTCATAAGAATTTCGTCCAAAGTAGAAGGCGTGATATCGACCTCCCATGTACGTTCGGCCGATTCGGTAAGCAATGCCTGCTGAATCCCTCATCAGAATGGTCCCAGCAAAGGAATGGCCAACATGACTGAGAATAGATCAACTAATGTCTTGCTAGCTGAGGACCACCTTGGGCCGGTGACGCAGATGAGATAGAACAGTGCTTGGCTGTTACAAATATAACAGGATTTGTATGCATCGCGATGCTTATCTACAGCAATCCGAAAATTCCCATTTGGTGGCATGAACCAAAGCGAGAGTCAAGTGGCGTCGGAGCCCTTTTCGATAATACTCGTCAGACTCACATGTTCACACAGTAGAGATTACATGCTAAATGTGACCAGTTGGGGAGCTGGCCGTTGAATTAAACATTCGAATCGACATTTAGCTCAATTCAGCACATATAGCACTTAATCCATACTATGTAAAGCATGAGTGTTCTGGGAAAGAACCCTACACAGTAATCGCCTTTCACTTTGATTTATACTATTAAGGGAGAGCTGGATTTCTCCATCTCATGACCCCTTGTCACCTAACAAAGTCTCCGGTCAATTTTCAGACTCCTAGCCAGCCGTAATTTTAAGGTGTTATGGGCGATTTATTAGTGAAAATGTGGGAACAGGAAACCGTTTCAACCGAGATGAAATGGCTCGCTGAAGACTATCTGATACCCATAAAAGCTTGTTTCGTGAAGAGCCAACCGGGATTTTTTAATCGTTTCGGGTTGTACTTCGCACTCACAGAATGATAAACATTTTCCAGAGAATGACAGGAATCAACCTCTGCACTGACTCTTGGTGGGGACCATCTAAGACGTTCCGAAATGCAACTACTTGGGCAGCTGTATCAGCGATCGTGAAATAGAGTATCAGGCCACAAACCGTGTGGCAGAAGCCAGAGGCACTTTTCCAATCCTCGTCAGTCATGGCGCAGCGTGATATCGCTCACGCCCAGCAGAGTAAAGCCTACGAATCTACCGTCTGTTCAACAATGCTGTGCAGTCGCAAAACTTGGTCAATCCGATCGACGGAGACTAATCGATTGGAATCACCAGTGGCCTCACAGTTCAGTCATATCCGTCAGGAAGGTCTTGATAATGGTACAGAAAAAGCGAGTTAACTACTCAGAACCGTTATTCAAGCACCAGGATCTGATGTCACAATCATGTGTCACAAAGGCTAGCAAGCTGGCTCCCACAATGAACGTTGTTTGAGCAACCGGAATGTGGAAGGGAGGCCATCCGATGACTCAGGAGGAATGTAGGCTTTCACTTGAGTCTTGGTTTGTGCATCTCAACTCACAGTTGAATCCCAAAGAAAAGGAACACTACCAGTTGGAAATACTTATTGGCATGACCAAAAGTCGGATGAGTGATGGCATAAAAACAACTGTCAATATTAAGAATGGGACTGAACAATTAGATTGAAGTTGATAATACGGTGAAATGCACCGTACCCCGTTAAATATATTTTTCGGTTTTAGTTGTTCACTATAACTGACATCCGAATACATACATATATGAGAGTTGGTCTACTTCACGAATTTTGTCTCTCGCTTTGTCCAAATATCGTCAGTCCTTGGTTTTCGTTTGGTAGGATGAGAAAGTGTATTATATACTTAAAAATCATGTTAGTGAAGACACCAATAATAAAAATAATATAGGTATAGTTTAGGGTGTACAGATGCTGCACAAACGAAGTAGATGGCTGTAGATGCCATAAATGCGGCTCAGCATTCACGCACAAATAGGTACCTAAAAAGTACGAACCATGACTTGCGCAAACAATTCAGATAGATTACAAATACCCATGGAAGTTCTGCACGATAGGGGATACTGACAGCCGAGCCCAGAATCCCTGAGCTCCGTCCGTCATCATGTTAAGCGGATTCATTCTTGTGGGCGAGCAACTTAACGTTCGGATATCATCTGGACAAAATTCCAACTAGCTGGCTTCTAAAGAGCAGGCTCAATCATTTCACCAACTGGATGGCAAAATACGAATCATGAGAAGGCTTCCACGTACTGTAAATTATATTTCTCAGAATTGAACAGCAAAAACATAATTCGATATCAAATAAGAAAACGGTAACTCCGACTACATAATGAGAAACAGTAAGCTCATCAACGATCAAAAACGAACTGTAATTTAGCACGAAATACCGTTCTATGAAGTTTCTATCCTGTGAACTGAATCATCCGACGGATTCGTTAAGCCGAGAATTTCATCTGCGTCACGAACTGAAATGAATAAGTTAAATAGGAATGCGCTGCAGCTTCGAATTACTACTAAAAACATGATGTGAAACTTCATGCTATAAATTTAGTATAGTGGTAACCGGTTGAACATCTTCAGTCGGTTCGTCTGGTTTCGAGCAAGTGCCACGATAGACGGAGCAGCGGACGAAGTTCACTGCCAGCTTGGCGCGACGCATCTGCAGTGACAGAATCCGCCAGTGAAAGACGTCGTCTAGTGATACCGATTGTAACGGGGCAGTGGTGTCGAGAACGTATACGGTGATTGTTAGTCTGAATCGCTGTGTCAGGGTGTAGGTGCTAAACACCGCTTCATGTTTGTTCGGTTAAAGTAAAGAACACAGATCAGGTTTAGAAGTATGGGAACACCCGAACTCAGCGGCGAGGACATCCAACATCCCTGCAAAGCATGTCCCTACCGCAACATCGTGTAAAGCCAAATATCGCTAATAGATGGATGGGTCACTGCCACACGTACCCCGCAGTTAGCCATGGCGTTGAAGTCCAAATAACGTAAGTCAAGTAAACGCCCGATCGCAGTTCTCTGAGTTGGAAACACTCATTCGTCATAGTCACCATTAGGAGACTACAGGAAAATTCTGCATGAAATTATTAATTAGAGATCACAAAAAAGTTTAGAATGCAGACAGGCTGTCACGCCACCCCATAAGCGATACCAGTGTAGCAGAGAGTGAAAAGCGTGAGCATGTTAGTTACGATGTTATAAATGGTGTAACTTTGATTTTTGAGCAGTCGCAGAAACGCTATTTTTAGAAGGTAGCAACAGGCTGACCGATAGCTCGTCATCCACTTACTGATTACTGGCACGACAAGAGGCCATCAATTTATTTGCTAATGGCTAATGGTAGCTTTTCAATAAGGTAGGGAAGAAAGCAGGTCTCTCTCTCTCTCTCTCTCTCTCTCTCTCTCTCTATATATATATATATATATATATATATATATATATATATATATATATATATATGGCGGAAGAGCTTATGGTGCGCTCAGGCTGGTGGTGGCGACATCCCGACAGATGGTCACCCACTGCTGCTACCGTTGTGCCATTGGCTCATGTCCTGGACCCCTCCTTGTGGCGACCGCTAGATGGGAGTTGAGGTACAACCTGCTAAGATTCAGGACACCAACCCGCATAAGTCAGTGAAATGACCATGTGCTAGACCCGCTGCCAATCGGGCGTACATTTAATCGAAGGATTTGGCTGAGGACTTAAGTCGTTCTCCTGTGAGGTGTGGGTGCCCTGAAAGTGTCCTAGTCCATCCCCTTCGGAGGGTACGAAGTGGTCGATGGCCCTCCTCCAGTAAAACATAGCCAGAGGAGAAAACAGGTTTACGAGTTATAACGTCACAGCTCGATGGGCGTAGAGCATGAGCGTCACGTATTGTCTCTGACGGCGGGAGGGCACCTACTGGTGTTCAACGGTATGCTAACTGCCCCTCTCAGGCCACATAGCCCCTAGTCAAATTGGTGCAAACCCGCCAAAACCCAGACGCAGAGAGCACTTGCTCATCTGCGAAACGGCAAGTGTGCAGGGGCCGACGGGATCCCGCCTGAAGTATTGAAACACGGCGGACTCGCGTTGGTGACTGCGTACACCACTTGGTGAAACGCGTATGGATTGAGGAGGGAGGTGCTTCTTGAACTGAAGGATGCCCTTGTGCTACCACTGTACAAGGGCAAAGGTAGCAAGCAATGTTGCACGAATTATCGTAGAATCAACTTGCTGAGTTGTGTGGGTAAGGTGACTGCTCGAATCCTGCTCAACCGCCTCGTCAGTCAGGTTGTGGAACCTAACGTGGCGGAAGAGCAGTGTGGATTCCGTTCGGGTCGCAGCACTATAGATATGATGTTTGCGGCTCGTCAGTTGCACGAGAAGTGCAGAGAACGACACCAGCTTTTGTACTCGCTTTTTGTTGATTTCACCAAGGCATTTGATACAGTGAACCGCGAGGCATTGTGGCTCGTGTTGGGTAAGTTTGGTTGCCCACGTAAGTTTGTAAATTTAATTGAATGACTGCAGTGGTGTGCGGGTGAGGGTGCAGCTGAGTGGAGAGACGTTGGATGACTTTGCAGTTGTCTCTGGTGTGAAGCAAGGCTGTGTCTTAGCTCCTGTCCTGTTTAATATATATCTTCATGTAATGTTGGCTTGTGCTTTTGATGCGGCTTGTGCTCACAGTGTTCGTGTGGAGCACCGTATTGATGGTGGGTTGCTGAACATCCGTCGTTTCGGTGCGAGAACTCTAGTCTGTGAGACAACTATCCATATGTTGCTGTTTGCTGACGACTGTGCGTTGTTTGCACACAGCGCGGATGAGTTGCAGCACATGATTAGTGCTCTGGCTTCGGCAGCGGCCAAATTCGGGCTCACACACAAGCAAAACTGTCTGTCTCTTTACCATTCACCGGAGGTGTAGTCTTCAATATTGTAGAAAATCAGCATTGGAGCTGAATTATTAGAAAACACGTCCTGCTACCTTGGGAGCGTGATACTGACTAATCAGCAGCTTCACAGTGAGCTTCGTATCAGCGTCTCGAAGGCAGCGGTGGCATTCGCGAAGCTAGAGTACCGAGTGTGGAACACGCATCAGCTTACCAGTAGCACGAAGCTGATGGTGTACAAATCCATGGTGTTGTCCGTTCTTCTGTACGGCAGTCAAACATGGACGATGTAGCGGCGAGATGTGTGATGTCTCGAGCGGTTCCATCAACAGTGTTTGCGGCGGATTTTGCGCATCGGATAGGGCGACAGAGCTGCATACACATAAGTGTTGCGCCGAAAAGGAATGTATGCAGTGGATTGCATAATTTTGCTGAGACACCTGAGGTGGCTCGGTCATGTGAGCCGTATAGATACAACGCGGATACCGAAAAAACTATTATATGGTCAGCTGAGTATTGGGAAGCGGCAAGTGGGGAAACCAAAGTTCCTTTACCCCAAAGTGAGACTCTCATGTTCTAAGCTTGATTGCAGGTCATCGGAATCGAAGGCGGTTGACCGGCGTACATGGTGCGACCAGATCACGAAGGCAATTGCCGAAATGCGGGAAAAAGACCTCAAGCTTGCAGAGAAAAAGCGGCGAGCACCGATAGGTTGTACTCCATCGACATCGAGCGCATGGTGCTGTAGCACATGCGATCGCGAGTACCTGAGTCAGGCCTAGAGCCATGAAGGTGGCCACTCGAAACCACCACTGAAGGGATGACTGGTCCTGCAAAGAACGTAGGCAGAACCGGCACAGAGTTTGTAGGCACGCTGCATTCGATTTGCTAACCGTGTCCTTTCATGCTAAGTACCCTTATTTCAGGTGGTTTGTTTTCAATGTTGTCCTAGTGATTTCCTTTCTCATATTATTGTCTACCTATTCTATATTCCATAAACTTGCACACTTCGCTGAAGCTAATTGTAGCTAATTTCGATAACACTTTCGCGTTACTGTCATTTCCTTAAAATAGATCTGCTCTCTTGAGCTTTCGCGGATTCGTTTGTAATCAAGTATTTTTATACGCCCATTAAGTGAAGAGTTATGTCTCCGTATCTGAGTGCATTATCCGATTTAGTTTATTTCATATTGTCGTTTCAAGTGAATGGCTGTTGCTTGATATCCCCGGCGTGGATGCACTTGATGTGCATGTTGACAAGATGCCTACCTGTCTATTACCCACTACCTCGTCCATACTGGCTCCAGGAAACATTTGGTCGTTGCTGGAGGGGACGGGGTGCACGGTCCTTGTGGCCGTGCTAGGCTCGAAAAGCGGTTCCATGCACTCCGTGTGGAGCGGACTACGGTCCAGCCACCGCCTTGTTTGCGATTGATTCCCCAAATACAGCGTGCTTGTGTTTGCCTGTGAAGGAGTGTGGGCCCGCTCCGTTGATGAAACGTGGCTCCCATCCGCATGCCTCCCGGTCTTATTCCTTCGGGTTTACACTGGATATGGGGTGTGTGAATGGAACTGTGGTTGGTGCAGCGCAAGCCATCCATGGTCCCTCTGTGGCGTCCTGTGGCTGGCCACAGGGACTGGCAAATCCGGAACAAGATGCCGCGAACAGTATATGTATGTGATCTGATCATTCTGTACAACATAATCGGATAGTGGAGGAAGAGGGTCAAGTTTTTTAAAGCAGCTTCCAAGAGTTTTTGGGGTGTTCCATCAGTTAGAAGCAAAAAAAAGGAAGAACCAGAGTGGGAATAGCCAACAGCTATAGTAAGCAACTAAGACCAACCATGTAATCACTTAAGACGAATTGATGAGACGCGAGGATCATGATCGCAAAAAGCATCGAATTTCGCTGTGATTTCTACTAGTTGCATTATACACTGTTTCAGGTTGGTAAAAAAGGTTCCGCGGGATATCGACTGAAAGGTTAGCAAACACATTTAGTAAGTGTGCTGACAGAAATCACTATTACTATGACATCAACCGATAGCGCTGTATTGCTATATGCCCAAAAATAGAGGTAAGCGGAGCCAATATCCAGATACGAGGTCGCGCAAAGGCTTACCGCGGAGCACCTGAGCTGTCTGCTGCATGCGAAGGTGAACGGTACGAGCGTGGAACGATCTTCCAATGTACTGCCAAATTTGAGATCCGGGTGCAAACTGATTGGCCAGCAAATACAAGCCCGAGTCAACGGAGGCGAAACATTCTGCTAAATATGGAAAATCCGTGGGACGGAATTAATTCACGTTGCCTAAGAGCCAAACGCTTCCAAATTTAGTATATTTCGTTCACCAATAAATAGAACTGACCTATCCTGTAGAATAGACTCTGTTTACCGAGCCTTGACCTTCTGTATCCCGTCGGTTGGTTGGGCGCGTGATTGAGCAATCAGGCGTAGTCTCGCAGGCGCAGAATAGCATCAGTGCAGCAGTACGAAGGCAGCTTTACAACATAGGCGACGGAGTCAGAGGAACCCAAAGATGTCACTTAGTTTTGAACAAATGCAGACTATGTTGCCGCAACAG